TAGTTCATCAGTTCAGGTTGCGTTAGTTTATCATTTCAGGTTGGGTTAGTTCATCAGTTCAGGTTGGGTTAGTTCATCAGTTCAGGGTGGGTTAGTTCATCAGTTCAGGTTGGATTAGTTTATCAGTTCGGGTTGGGTTCGTTTATCAGTTGGGGTTGGGTTAGTTTATCAGTTGGGGTTGGATTAGTTCATCAGTTCAGGTTGGGTTAGTTCATCAGTTCAGGGTGGGTTAGTTCATCAGTTCAGGTTGGATTAGTTTATCAGTTCGGGTTCATCAGTTGGGGTTGGGTTCGTTTATCAGTTGGGGTTGGGTTAGTTTATCAGTTGGGGTTGGGTTAGTTTATCAGTTGGGGTTGGATTAGTCTATAATAAAACAAAAAAGTACACGTCTCCTCAGTGATAAAACTTCCATTCATCATCTTGACGGCAATCAAATCATGTATTTTCTACAAACCTACGTTTGCATTACACTTGGTGATATGATCACGCTCTGTTAGCATGAAAAGGGGTTATTATCAATCGTCAAATAAACAAACGTTATGCACTGTTGCCCTCTAAGGGTGTTTACACACGCCTATGCTCTTCTTATGGACTTCCTAAGAAAACAATACATCCCTTATAACACGTACAAAATTCAGCAGTCCGGATCGTCACAAAGACAAAACAGAGAGATCATATCACCCCCGCTTTGAAAGAACTCTATCAGGATAGATTTTAAAGCTCTTCGACTAGTTTTTAAGGCTCTAACGGATCTTAAAGCTCCTGATTGTCTGTCTGTTTATGATTTTAGATCTGCAGATACTGACCTCCTGCGAACACCTTCAGTAAAATACAGAAAACGTGGAGAGACTCGTTCAGTTATTCTGCCTCTAAACTGTGGAACTCAGTTCACCTTTTATTAGACAGTCAAGCTCAGAGCTCACTTTTAATAAACATCTAAAAACGTGTCTCTTTAACTCAGTGTTTAATTAAAACTCTACGTCTCGTGATGTTTATCTTTTTAATTTGATCTGTTTCATTTTCTTATATGATTCCAAATGAATACTTATAATTTCTTGTATTACTCTTAAGCTTTATCTCCTGCCTGTAAAGCACTTTGAGCTGCCACCAGCATGAAAAGTGCAATATAAATAAAAATATTATTATTACTATCAATAACATTACTCACCATCACGCTGAAGGTGGTAACACCAGTCAGAACTTTTGTTGTTGTTGTAAGACGCTATAGTCCTATTCAGATGGGATTAAATTGACATGGAGTAATAATTTAATCTTTTTACAGGTGCTGCTCTGTGATTTTATTTCCATCTGCATAAGACATGTTTGTGTTTTTCTTCCTCCGATGTAGAAAGGCCGATGTAGTTTTAAACCCAACTCAGAGGTCATCTGATTATTTTAATATATTTTCCCAGGCAGATATCCATGTTAAATGTTTTCCCAACTGTGAAACAGTGGATGCTTTGGAAGTCTTTCCGTATTGACTTGTCCTGGGTCTCCACTGTACACTCGGACAACATTAGCTGGAGGAGAAACAAAGCGGATCAGTGAAGTGAGATCTCACAGGTGATTATTATGGCAGCCATAGATATAAAGCATTTTATATTCACATCTGACTAAATAATGAAATCAAAGCACGACTTTACATCCACAATATCATCGCTTTTCATGCTGAGCGCAGTCATATGACCATGTGACGCAAATGTGTAAGTTTGCAAAAATTACAGCCCAAAATTCTCACCTCCTATAGTAACTAATAGTAGTGTATACCATTTTTCCCTTTTTAATTGTCTTTCTACTGTTATTTTATGTTTTAAACTGTCCTACTACACTGTAAAAAGTGTCTTGTAAGAATCTACTTTATGATAAAAAAATAATAAAGAAGTAATAAAAATTACTTCATGTAGTAACAAGCAATTGAACTAGTTTTATTCAACTCAAAAATGACTGTAATTGAAAGAATAGTTTATTCAAAGTATTTATTTAGATTGAATAAAACTAGTTAATTTACTTTTTACCACAAAGTAATTTTTTAGGCAGATCTGATGAGCCACTTTTTACAGTGTACGCTATTTTTCTCTCAGTTTCTTTTTGGTTTTCTTTTATCTTTTTCTCGTGTTTGTATGGCTTGTTTCGTTGTTGTTGCACTATGCTGTAATGTATAGTATGTCTACTGGACCCCAGAAGAATAGCGGCTAATGGGGATTCTAAAAATAAACAATGATCTATATTGCTGTATGCATGCCATCTAGAGTTTTATCGCTGAGGAGACGTACATTTTTTTAACAGATGTCCCCCTGATAAACTAAGCCAACCCAAATAGGGCTTTTAATGCATCTTAATAAATGTTTTTTTTTTTTTCTTAATTGACATAAATGAACCCAATGCATCCAGTTCACATCCTCTTTGTTGCGGTGTGATTGTGAAAGTTAACAGCTGTGGGAAACAGTTATGTTCGGCTTAAATAACTGTGATTAGCTAAAATAGATGCTGTTTGGTGATTACGTAGTAATTGTGATGGGTCTCGCCAAGATATGATTTTTGGCAGTGAAGGTCGAATGTAATTAGGGTTCAAGAATGCTGATCCTGATTCTTTGGCTCAAGACAAACTAATTTGCAATTTGAATCATTTATCTCTGCCTAGATTATTTGCTGAGTTGCATAACAAGCAAATATGCCTACTTTTGCGAACTAGTCCTAGGTTTTTTGCTATATCCTAGGGTAACTGGTATCAAAAACCTCAATAACTTTTCCAACTTTTTTGCTGGCATCAAATTCAAAATGGGCATATAATTTCCAAACATTTTTCTCAGCTTTTTCTCAGTTTCAGCATTTGATATGCTGTCTTTATACTATTTTCAATTTAATATAGGGTTTAAATGATTTGCACTGCATTCTTTACATTGTATTCTGTTTTTATTTACATTTTGCACTGCTCCTAACTAGACCTTTTTTGGAAATGGGGTTGTATTACACGTACATGTTTTTAGTTATGGTCACATAACTGTTTGATGATGATGCAGAACAGTGTAACAAACAACTTTGCAATTACAAGTGTATTATAAAAATGCATGCTTTTTTTGCAGTCGTTGATTGAGAATTGTACTTTTTGAAATAGGTCTATAAATACTCTGTGGCAGAGGGTCAGTCTGAACAAAATTTGGTTGAACATCTTTGGTGAAGGCCTCTGATCAGTAATCATAACATATGGAGACCTTTTGACAAATTGTACCTCCCTTTCACTCCTGTACGTCAAAAAGGCCCCTTATGGCTGCATTAGGCCTCATTATGGCATGCACATCAAAGGGTTATACTATGAGAACCAAAAAACTTTGCAAATACAACTATATCAGAAACGACACCATTCGTCATATTTTTTACTTCTTTTTTTTTTAATCTTTTGCAAGTTTTTTTTAAAGGTCAGTAGATCAGTATATCTTGTTGCTATCGGAACAAAACCTCGCATAACCATTTTTGTTGTTTTTCAGTTTTTGTCTTGATTTTAAAATGCCTGCTGACCTTCACATTGTTTGTTAATTTCATGACAAATGGACCAAAAGAAGTGGCCAAAAATTACTTGGACAAAATTCTGGTTCCATTCACTGTGTCCCAATTCAGGGGCTGCGTAGACCCGTGAAGGCTGAACTGAAATGAGACCGTCTGCACTGCTTATTTTTTCCTTTATTAGAGCTGAAGATGCTTCGCTCTGTCGACTCTTTGCTCCCTAAAACAAAACGTTAGCGTAAGTTTTGCTTCAGACCAATACTTTGTTCGTTCCTCTGCTGACGCCACTATGTTCTCGAATCCTCGCTGGTACACATGAACCTCAGGATATGTTGGCTGGCAAAGGATCCACCCGTTGGATCCTTCGTTGCCATGGAAAGGAAGGACACATTTCTCAGCCACATATGAAGGAGCCCTCGAAAATGAGCTGTGACGCAATCGGCCTTCAAATGCAGCCTCTGTAGGACGCAGCACCTGAACTGGGACGCAGCCATTGACTTACATTAAAAGTAAAGTTTGTTTGTTCCTTCTCCTGTAAAGTTACCATTTTGGACAGCAGCGATATGAACTTAAGCGTGTATCATGTTTAAAGACCTCGGCTCAACAGTTACAGCAAATGAAGGCCTTTGGATGAACTCTGACTTTCTTGTAAGGCTCAAACTGTGTTAGACCTTGTTAGGCCTCACTGGCCCAAACTGCATAAAGCCTCATTGTGCTGAATCCTGTTTGATTAAATCCTCAGACTGCTGCTTGTGGCTATATATTTTTTTTTTTTTAGTTATGTAATCGTGATTGCCCTAATCATCACTAGCTCAACTGTATCTGCAGCAAATGCTTAGCTGGGCTGCGCTGTTGGGTTCCAAGTTCTCTGTCTGTAATGACTCATTTGGCTGTGGATGGCTGTGGGCAAAACCTGACACGGTCTAGTCAACACAAAAAGAGCTGTTTACAGAACTTTTTATGAGGTGCCTTCGCTTCCAATGTAAGAGTGAATGTGACTGAAAGGTCTTGCAGGAGTGACTTGTATATTTAGTTAGATGAAGGTGGTAGTTAAGCTGCAGAACGCAGATCAGGACTGCATAATGAATGGTTTAGAAACGTTCCACAACAGTTCACTCTCTGCTCTTCAGCCAACATACTGTTATATTTCTTATTTCATATCCTGTGTGGTACATCATCGTTCATCCACCCAGGAAATGAGCAAAGGGGCTGTTTGACTGTCGAACTGAAAGCGTGTCCATATTAATTGCAATTGCATTTTATATTGAGGTAACAAAGCCTGCATATAATTTACTGTGATTGAAGGAAAACAGGCTGCATAACTATTAACAAGATTCACTGAGTTTTCAGACTGAGATTATACAAACAGACTGAATTAACTTTTTAATAATCTCTTCTCTCTTTTCCGTTTTTCTGTTTCTCTTTTCTCATCTTTTCGCCTTTTATTTTTCTTCCTTTCTCTGTTTATTTTGTTCTTTTCTTCACTTCTCTCCCTGTAGACAGTGCTTTTCTTGCGAGGCAGAAAGCTAAAGCAGATGCTGAGTTTTATACGGCTCAGAGGACAGCCGAGGCCAATAAGGTGAGAAAAACAGAAACATCTGCATCTCTTTAAACCTGCTCTCTTCTCTTCTCCTCACTTCTCTTCGCTTCTCTTCTCTCCTCTTTTTGCTTCACTTGTCCTCTCTTTACGCTTCACTTCTCCTTTCTCCTCTTTGCTTCTCTTCTCCTCTCTTTTAGTCTCTTTTTGCTTCTCTTTTCACTTCTTTTCTCCTCTCTTCGCTTCTCTTCACTTCTCTTTGTTTCTTTTCTCCTCTCTTCGCTTCTCTTCACTTCATTTCACCTCTCTTTGCTTCTGTTCTCCTTTCTACGCTTCTATTCTTTTCTCCTCTCTTTGCTTCGTTTGTCCTCTCTTTACCTTTCTTTGCTTTTCATCTACTCTTCTCCTCGCTTTGCTTCTCTTCACTTCACTTCTCTCTTTGCTTCTCTTCTTCTCTTCACCTCTCTTTGCTTCTTTTCTCTCTTTGCTTTTCTCTTATTGCTTCTGTTCTCTTGCACTTTTCTTCTCTTCTGTTCGCCTTTCTTCTCTTCTCCTCTCCTCTCTTCTATTCTCTTCTAGAATGATTCCGTCTCCAGGTCTCCGCCTGTCTTTTTTCCTTTTGCCTCTCAATCTTTTTTCCGTCTGTCTTTCAGCTTTTCATTCTTTCCATCTTTCATTCTTTTGTTCTGCTTTTTATCATTGCTGGGTATCTTTCCATTTTTCTATCTGACTTTCTTTTCTGACTCTCACTTTTAATCTTATTTTCCATTCTGTAATTCTTTGTTTCCTTCTTGCTTCCTTTGATGCTGGTTTCTTTCTGATCTTGTCTATTCTAACCTCTCTCTCTCTCTCTCTCTCTCAGTTGAAGTTGACCCCTGAGTACCTGCAGCTGATGAAGTTTAAAGCTATAGCTGCCAACAGTAAGATCTACTTTGGCAGTGAGATTCCTCACATGTTCATGGACTCTGGACCTGGAAGCAGCTCGTCCAGAACCTCCAAAGCCATCGACGTCCTGTCTGAGGACTTACTCAACCTGGACTGACACACACACAGAGAGACACAGCTGAGCAGATATACAGGTGACAGTGGAGGGTGGAGGTAGCAGGAGCCCGTGGTCTGGGAGTGGACCAACTGAAGAAGAGCAACATTAGGAAAACAACCACAGCTGCTTCATTCCGGCTGTGGAGAGCGACTGACCGCACAGCGCTGAGTTACCGCGGCTCTGTTTACACTCTTAAACTGAAAGCACTTACAGACGTGGTCAGCATTCAGAACAGCACAGCCTCTGTTCCTGACCATCAGATCAGCGTCTGACCATGAGCTTCACACCACATTCAGTGCTGAAGACAACAGAGTCTGTGTTCTCTGAACAGAGGACAGCAGTGCAGCCCCAAACGAGTGTCACTCTTTCTTTTTTTCTCTCACTCCTGTTTCCCCTGTCTTTTTCTTCCCCCCTCCTTCTGTCTTCTTTCTCTTTTTTCCCCCTTATCTTCACGTTCTCTCTTCTTTTTCTCTCTCGTTCTGTTTTTCTCATCATTTTCCCTCCCTTTCTCTTTCCACTCTGTCTTTTTTCCCTCTTTCCCCTCTCTTTTTATCTTTTTCTCTCTCTCATTTCTTCCCATCTCACTCTTTCATTCTCGTTCTGACCTCCTTTTTTTCACTGTTTTTTTTCCTCCTCCCCCCTTATATTCACACTCTCTCTCTTTCTCTCTTCTTTTTTATCTCACTCTCTCTTTTTCCTTCCCTCTGTTTTTCTCTTTTCCTTCTTTTCCTCTTTTTCTATCACATCTCTTCCCATCTCACTTTTTCATTCTCGTGCTGTCTTTCTTTTCTCCCTCTCTCTCTGCTATTCTCCTTTTCTCTCTTCACACTGTCTCTTCTTTTTCTCTCTAACTTTATTTTTTTCTCTGCTCTTTTTACCTTCTCTCTCTCTTTTCCCTGTCTGTGTTTTTCTTTCTTTCTTCTGTTGATTGATTTCTTCTTTTCTTTCTCTTCTCTCTCTATTTCTTTCTAATTTCCTCTTTTCCTCTCCCCTTATTTCTCTCTCACTTTCTTCACTTCTCTTTCCTTTTCTTTTTCTCTTCCTCACACTCTTTTTTTTGTTTTCTGTTCATCACTCTTCTATTTTTTCTTCTTTCTTTCTCTCTCGTTTTCTAATTACCTCTTTTCTTCTCCCCTTTCTTTCTCTCTCCTACTCTTCTCCTCTCTTCTTTTTCCCTGTTCTCTCCCTACTTTCCCTTTCTTTTTCTCTTCCTCCCCTCTTTCTCTTCACATTCTCTCTTTTTGCTGTTTTTCTCTATTTATCTATTTTCTATTTATTTCCTCTATTCTTTCTTTCTCTCTTTCTAATTACCCCTTTTCTTCTCCCCTTTCTTTCTCTCTCACTCTCTTCTTTTTCCCGGTTCTCTCCCTACTTTCCCTTTCTTTTTCTCTTCCTCCACTCTTTCTCTTCACATTCTCTCTTTTTGCTGTTTTTCTCTCTTTATCTATTTTCTATTTATTTCCTCTTCTTTCTTTCTCTCTTTCTAATTACCCCTTTTCTTCTCCCCTTTCTTTCTCTCTCACTCTCTTCCCGGTTCTCTCCCTGCTTCTCTTTTTCTTTTCCCTCTCTTTCATCCTCTCTCTCTCCTCTTTCCCCCTGTTGCTTTCTCAGTTTTCTCATTCTTTATTTATTTCCCTCCATTTTATTGTTTGTCTTCTCCTGAACTCTGACCTTTCCAGAACATTCCGGAATTCCTAATTCTTGAGAAGCAGCCATCTCCATCCTGAAGGGAAGCCGGGAGTAAAACCTTGCGTCTCCTTCTGGTTCAGTGATAATCTGATCAGGCTTTCCTCCGTGCTGATGTGTTTGTACTGAGTCACTATTCAAACTAATTCTCCAGAATTTTCTCCATGTCATTTCAGCTGGTCAGTGACAAAGCAGCCGTTAATCTATGGACTGTGCTTATGTCAACGTTAGACTCACATCGAAAGAACGAAAGGTTGGGAACTGTCGATTGGGTCTTACGCTAAGCAGCCGGTAGTTTACCAGGCACATCTGTGAATGTAGCAGCTGTGGTTTAATAGCTGATCTGTGGTGATGTTAAACTCTCTGCTGCACTACTGACAGCTGGTTTAGGTTTATCTGCAAAAGTCTGAGGCAGCTGAGATTATAAATGTGTTTTTGTCTGGAAAACAACAATATAAAACATTAGAATCTATACAAATAAACATACAGTACTGTGCAAAAGTCAGAGACCACCCTTCGTTTACTTCATTTCCAGTCAAAACAGCCATTAAGTACAAGTTATTCATGTTTTTAGTTTATTATACCTTTATTATACCTTTATACCTTTACCTTTATTCCAGCTTCCGTTCTTTTTAGGAGACTCGCTTTCAGTTCCTCAAAGAATCTGCAGACACACCTCCAAAGTTCAGGCTTAGAAGCTGGTTGATCATTTTCTGAAGTAATCAAACACATTCAGTGGTGTTGAGGTCTGGGTTCTGGGGTGGTCAGTCCATTGTTCAGCTTCTTTGTTTGATGTGTCCGTCTCCTTTTCTCAGTGAGGTTCTTCTTGATCAGCTACACATCCTTTCAGACCCACAGCGCTGAGTCGTCTTCTCACAGTGGAAGGATGGACAGAAGCACCTGTGGATGTTTTCAGATCTGAAGCAGCTTGATTTTCTCCTCTCTCTCAGAGATGAAAGCTTTAAGTGCTGTTTATCTGATGGGGACAGTTTTGGGGTCTACCAGCTCCGCAAAAAATGAATTAAATCTTAAATCTAAATAGCTAATATTTCTCATTGTGAGATGGTTGTACGATTGGTATTATAAGATCATCATACGTATTTCTAGATGTTTTTTTTACTTGCTTTGAGTAATTTTATTAGGTAAAATTAAATTATCTCACTGTATTGGCAGATAATCCTGCTTGTTTTAGGAAATATGCTTGAAACCAGCAAAACAGTGAGATAATTTAACGTAATAAAATTACAAAACGAGTAAAAAATGTCTAGAAGTAAGTTAAATTAAGCTTACAATAATCTCAAAATGAAGAATATTAGACATATCGACTAGATTTAAGACAATTTTACTTGCCAATAAACGATTTTCTGCAGTGAGGTCTTCCAGGTGGTTGTTAGGAGTCCCATTTTACTCTGTAGCTTTTAATCATTTTTGAATTTTTTCTATCAGTTTTGGAAACTAGTGGGTTAACTTGTACTTAATGGCTGTTTAGGCTGTGAATTAAACAATAAAGGTGGTATCTGACTTTTGCACTGCATTGTTAATACAGTAAAAATTAATTTTCCAAATTTCATGTAATGAAAAACTGATTAGATAAAGTAGGAGTTGGATGGCAACTCTAAATACTGGGCCTCCTTGAGGAGAGCTTTGGTTAAGCTAACACAGTCACATGACAGTGGACTGTTTATTCTAATGGTACTGATTTTTAAACAACCACTTACTGCCCAGATAAATGGCTTTACTGATCATTTCCTCAGAAGCCTTTAGCACAGTACTGTATATCTGCTGTCACAGAGTTCAGGACCAAAGTAGCTCTACGTCTGTTATAATGCTGTAAACGATTTCTCAGCAGGTTTATCATTTTTAGAAAAGCTTTTGTGGAATTTAATCTTCTATTTATTAACCTTTTGAGGCGTAGCCGTCTCACAGTAATGCTCACCAAAATAAATCAAGCTGTCGAGTGCTTGGAAATGAGTGGTTTGTGTTGGATTCGGAGTGGATCAGACGAAGCCTGTTCTGCTTCGAAATGTTTTCCGTCCATGTGTGTCTTCTTTGTTTTTTTTCCAAAAAACACACTCTTCAACAGACTAAAGGTGTGTGTGTGTGCTTTGTTTGTTTATATTGTTTATATATATATCGTTTATTAATTAAGAGCAATTGTGGGGTCCATTGTTTTGTTAGTGTCGGCGTTTGGCTGCTAAGCCTGATTAACCTTGACTCTTAGGCCAGAATCTTACTCAACGCAAGTACGAGAATGGCAGCGCTCGGCTAACACACTCCCACTCTGTAACGTCTTCCAGGTTTCTCAAACACTAGAGGGCACTCCCGAGCATGTCCAAAATGAATGGGTTAATATAGAGCATTTGAGCAAAATCATAGTTTATACATGTTTAAACATTTTTAATGTAAAAGAATACAATCATTTCCTGAATGTATTTCCAGAGGACAAAATTGAACTTAATAAGATAGAGGACTGTGTCAAAGACATTAAAGAATGGATGTCAAGTAACTTCCTCTTACTAAACTCGGACAAAACAGAAGTTTTTCTTCTGGGTCCAAAAGCTGTTAGGGATAATCTGCCTGTGTTTACTCTTAATCTCGATAGTTTCTCAGTTGCACCAGGCACATCTGTAAAAAGCCTTGGTGTCACGATTGATCCCAGTCTGGCCTTCGATGAGCATATTACCAATATTACCAGAATAGCTTTCCTCCACCTGCGTAACATCACTAAATTAAGAAATGCACTGTCGCTACAGGACGCAGAAACGTTAGTCCACGCCTTCATCACGTCCAGGTTAGATTACTGTAACGCTCTGCTTTCTGGTTGTTCCAGCCAAAACCTTAACAAGCTTCAGTTAGTCCAGAACGCTGCAGCCAGAGTTCTCAGCAAAACCAGGAAATCTGACCACATTAGCCCAATTTTGTGTACCTTACATTGGTTGCCAGTTAAATTCCGCATTGAGTACAAAATTCTTCTACTGACATAAAAAGCTTTGAATGGCCTTGATCCTCAGTACCTCAGTGACCTTATTTCCTATTATCAACCGACACGCCCACTTAGATCACAAGGTGCTGCTCATTATTGGTACCCAGAATAAATAAAACTACGTCAGGGGGAGGAGCCTTTTCATACAACGCCCCCCAGCTTTGGAATAGCCTACCAGTCTGTGTTCGGGACTCAGACACAGCCTGTATCTTTAAGTCTAGGCTAAAAACTTACCTGTTTAGTCGAGCTTTTGGTTAATTTGTTTTCCTAACTATGTCCCTCTTATCCTCCCTGCCCCCCCTCTTTCTCTGAGCTGAGCGGCTGCCTGTCCTAAGAGGGTCTGACGTGTCTGATGCGGCCGGCGCACTGCACAGTGGTGTTAAACTGTATCCACTTATACTGTTTTGTGTCTGTGCTGTTATCTGGTGTCGACCAGAGGAGGATGGGTTCCCCTATTTGAGTCTGGTTCCTCTCGAGGTTTCTTCCTCCTGTTGAGGGAGTTTTTCCTTGCCACTGTCGCCAAGGTTTGCTCACTGGGGGACCCGGATTCTTTGTAAAGCTGCTTTGTGACAACATCTGTTGTAAAAGGTACTATATAAATAAATTTGACTTGACTTGAACACTGAACAGCATAAAACATTTTAACACTGCTGTTATATTTTTAAAAGCTTTTAAACTCGTGTTATAGGAGTTTAAAACGGCGCCTCATTTATGTTCATGACGTCTGTGAGCGCGAACAACCAATGAGCTGCTCCGCTCGCCAACCAATCAGCACTCAG